AGATTCTCCGGCATCGGCAGTTCCCACTACCCCTACAAATAATGGTTCCTTTTCATGCTTTTTCAGATGCCTCTGCTGCCCTGCAGGTCAGGGCTGTGAAGGACTACTGTAACAATTATGACCTGACCAGCCTTAATGTCAAAGCAGGGGATGTTATTACAGTAAGTGTCATTTTTTAATCAACTTCCATTTCCTGTGATTTTGCTGGAGACTGTTTATGATTGACATGTTCACATTTACATGTCAGATTGACTCAAAAAATAAATGAGAAGTGTATTAGAGATTCTCCAAATTAATTTTGGAACAGTACAGGTATTCAACGAACAGTTTCAAGTATTGCCATATGGTATACTGCAAGACCTCTGTAAACGTGAAATGGAAAGTGTGGGTTGTATAATAAAGCACGTTTCCATGATAGGCAGCCCTTCTCTTGCACTTAGCCCTCAGACTCTCTTCTCTCTTCTGTCTCCTTCTCCTGCCTACCTTGCCTCTCCCGCCTTTCCTGATTCTATTGATGCTCTATATTTTCCTCTCTCTCACTCACTGTTCTAGTCTCTCATTGCCAATGCACCCTTTCCCCTATCCTACCTCGCGAAAGTGTTGAAATCAAAGGCTACCTCATGAATGGTGTGAACTTCTAAGTCTTTCAAATCAAGGCCTTCCTTGGTAACCTCATTCCTTTGTTGTTTAAAAGCTACTTCCTGGCTAATGTGAACTTTATTGTTCGCCGTGCCCCTCACTGCAGCCCTTTACCCTTTGACTAGCCATCACAATGAACAAGCCTGAAATGGTTAGAGTAGAAAGGAGACCTTCAATGCAGTTTATAGTGTTGGAGGCTCTCTCCAACTCCCTCCTCATTAAGGCAGAGAGTGTTCCGGTTTCCCTGATGTCCCATTGTAAGGCACTAATTGAAGTATGGGTCAGTTGTGTTGATGACTACATCAAGCTTCTGCTCAAGAACTTCCCCAGTATCAGGAAAGAGACCATGCAATGTGGAAGGCCTCAATCATGGCTAGTACAAGTGGACTGACATGAAGGGTTTGTTGCTGCAAAAGATATCTCGAGTCAGGAAGTCTCCCTATTCGGTAGGCATGCCTCGGTTAAACTGTACCCTCAAGCACATGATGTTCGCTCCGAGGGGTAGGTGTGGGTTGGAGTTGAGCGGTCTAATCCTGGAAGCAGAGCGAAGGCAGCCATGGGGCTGGCCGTGTGCCAAGTTGAGCTGGTTAGAAGACGCACCTCTGTTCTCTGGGACATCATCGCAGTTGTATCAGCAGCTGGTAGACCTTCTGAACGCAACCTTCATACCCTGCCACTCATGCCCCACAGCCTCTCAGGTCCTCCATGCCAACTCATCACCAACCAATGCCCATGATCCCTCAATACTTCATACAAATTCCACAACCACTCAGTTGGCAACAACCACAGGGATACCACAGCAACTATGTGTAGATGAAAAACAAACAATTTAAGAATCAGTCCTAGGGCGTCAATTGTGTTCTGTCTATATTAATGACTTGGAGGAGGGTCAGGGTGTAAGGTATCTAAATTTGCTGCTGATACAGAAGTAGATGGGAGGGCATGTCATTGATGAAGTCATAAGGAGTAAGTGGGCAAATTTTGACATTAATGGAGGGAAGTGTCAGGTCATGCACTCTGGTAGGAAGAACTGAAAGCCAGATTATTATTTACATGCAGAGAGACTCCAAAAGCATAGGATTCTGGGTATTCTTGTGCAAGAAACACAAAAATGGTGGCATGCAGGTGCAGCAAGTAATTGAGAAGATAAATGGAGTTTTGACCCTTACTGCTAGGGGTTTGGAGTTTAAAAGAGTGAAGTTTTGTTACAACTGTATAAGGTGTTGACAAGGCTGCAACTGGAGTATTGTGTACAATTTTGGACCGCATTATAAAGAAAGGATATACTGGCATTGGAGGTGATTCAAAATAGATTAACTAGGCTAATTCCTGGCTTGAAAGGGTTGTCCTATCAAGAATGGCTAAACCAGGCTAAACCCTTATTAGAGTTCAGTAGAATGACGGGTGATCATATTGAAAGATACAAGATTCCAAGGGGTCTTGGGAGGATAGATGTTGAGAAGATGTTGACATTCATGGGGAGAATCTTTAACTAGGGGATATAGTTACAAAATAAGGGGGATCGGTTTAAAACAGAGGTGCAAAGCAATTTCTTTTGTCAAATGGTAGTAAATGTCTGGAATTCTCTACTTTAGGGACTAGTGGAGGCTAGATCAGTGAAAGCATTTAAAGAGGAGGTTAATAGATTCATGAAATGTTGAGGAGTTGAGCGACAGTCATGTAGAATGGCTAAATGGCCTATGTCTATTTCTATTTTTTATGTTCTTACCTCTCACTTTTTCATACTTAACAGTGAAAAACTCCCATTTACAAAATCCAATCAAAGCTTTTATTTCTCCTTAAATAATTAATTCCTTATAAAGAAAAACAAACTTCTTCTCTGATCCCATATCAAAGCCAGCTATAACAAGGTGTGGAGCTGGATGAACACAGCAGGCCAGGCAGCATCAGAGGAGCAGGAAAGCTGACGTTTCGGGTCTGGACCCTTCTTCAGAAATGGGGGAGGGGAAGGGGGCTCTGAAATAAAAGAGAGAGGGGGAGGCGATGATAGAAGGTGGATACAGGAGCAGGTAGGTGGGAGAGAAGACAGACAGGTCAAGGAGGCGGGGATGAAGCTAGTAAAGGTGAGTGTAGGTAAGGAGTTGGGATGGGGATTGGTCAGTGAGGAGGGAAGGGCAGGTAGGTGGGAGGGAAGACGGACAGGTCAAGGAGGCAGGGATGAGGCTAGTAGGTAGGAAGTGGGGGTGGGAGTTGGTCAGTGAGGTGGGAGGAGCGGATAGGTGGGAGAAAAGACAGACAGGTCAAGGAGGCAGGAATGAGAGGGGCTGGTCTTGGGATGAGTTCGGGGGTGGGGAGATTTTGAAGCTTGTAAAGTCCACATTGAGACCATTGGGCTACAGGGTTCCCAGGCAGAATATGAGGTGCTGTTGCTCCAGCCTTCTGATGGCATCGTTGTGGCACTGTAGGAGGCCCAGGATGGACATGTCGTCCAAGGAGTGGGAGAGGGAGTTGAAGTGGTTCGTGACTGGGAGGTGTTGTCATTTGTTGCGAACCAAGCATAGGTGCTCCACAAAGCGGTGTCCAAGCCTCCGCCTCTCTCTCTATTTATTTCAGAGCCCCCTTCCCCTACACCATTTCTGAAGAAGGGTCCAGACCTGAAACGTCAGCTTTCCTGCTCCTCTGATGCTGCCTGGCCTGCTGTGTTCATCCAGCTCCGCACCTTGTTATCTCAGACTCCAGCGTCGGCAGTTCCTACTATCTCAAAGCTAGCTATCTTTTAATAGCTTCTTAAGCTGGCAAGCTGTGAAGTCAAACCCCCATGTCGATGTATTTTTAGCTTTTGAAATTGACTCGAGCATTCACAATGATATAATAATAGCCCCTTGGGGAAATGTCAACAAAGGACTCTAACTCTAAAAGTGCATGACCAGATGCTGCTAACCTATAATGTATAGCCCATAAATCAAAACAATCCAACAGATTTTTTTTAACTCTCAGTGACAGCTGCAGACTTTTTTTTCTAAGTTTAAAGGGTAGGGGATTTAACAAAACTTCAGATAGTGACTGTTTTACAGACTTTAACTGCCCTTCAAGGGCATTTAGATGTACACCAACAATTTGTGACTCTTGCTCTGCAGGTTAATGCCCTTGTAACAGAAGAAAATGGCCTTGCGGAGTTCCAGATTCTCTCCTGTGTGGCTCACTTTGTCACTCTCCTCTATCTGTAAAACTTGGGTCTGTTGGAAATGAGACTTCTGCATCTGGATTTTTCCCATCATTTTGAATTCTTTGGAGCTCCATGAAAATCCAGCCCTGTGTTTCCTTCTGGTGACCAAGCCTGGATTCACTGGGTTTGATGTGGCTCAGAAGCACTTTCAGACCTCATACAAACCTATACCATTAACAGCAAGACAGCGCCCACTTGGCTACCGAGCCCTACCCCACACATCAGGATAGCTGTAAGCTCATCATGAGACACTTCCTTTCTCGCCATGTAAACCCCTAGTGGGGCTGGGGTAGAAAGAAAACAGAAAAATATCCAGGGCTGCTAAGGGAAAAGTCCCTCACAGTCAGTAAAAGATGGCATAGGGATCAATTGTTAACAATGAAGACCCTTGCTTTGGGATCTGGGTGTCCTCGTACACCAGTCAATGAAACTAAACAGGTACGTGTATCAAGCAATTAAGAAGCTAAATTGTATGTTAGCCTTCATTGCAAGAGGATTTGAGTTCAGATGTAGGGATGCCATCCTGCAGTTATGCAGAGTAAACACACATTATTGTTAGCTACATGGACTTAGCACTGCAAAAACAACTGGAGCACTAAAGTACGCACTCAAAACCTTGTTAGCTCCTTGCAGGACCTGTCCCTCATTAACCTGATGAGTCAGAACTTATCTTGTGATGTTGGTTAACCCTTTCAGGTTCTAACTATCTTATACAACAGGACGATGTGTTAGTTTGAAACTTTGAAAGGGATTAAATGCTGATTTGCAAATTGCAAGCGAATGTTCTGTTATCAAAAATGACTGAAGTTATTAGGATAAGGTCTTTACAGTCAGGGCTCAGCAATTCAACAGAAATACAGCAGGTGGTGCTGCAGACACAACCATCATCACAAACAGGAATAGCTGTGAGGTTAGCCACTTCTTAATCAATTGGTCAATAACCACTTTCTCAAGTAGGAGTCAGAGTCCTTCATAAGGATGGTTGCATCGGGTTTTCCTAACAGTTGTCCCAATACCTTTAACAGCTCACTGAGACACCAATAAATTAATTAGAAGGTTTGTTTTTACCCCCAAAATCCTGACAGAAAGCAATAATAAAATTAGGGAACATTTATCTTTCCTGTTCTTACTGCCCAGTTCCTGTGTCCTGACTTAACCTGCTCTTTCAATCTCAACATTTTTACAGTTAACTTGCCTTTTCTCATATCTCTCACATCAGAAGTCACATCCTGCTTTTAGGATACTCCATCATTACTTTGTCTAATCATTTTGAAAATGTAATCCTCGAATGCATGAGCCCACACAGAGAACAGCTATTCCTGAAGGCCAATACAACACTTTAATCAGGAAGGTTAGCACATTTTAGAGTGTGAGTAGTAAGGTTATAGCTTTCCCTATCATAATAGTTCTTAGGGGCATCTCAGATTTACATGCTGCAAATCTAGTCTGAGAGAAGGCTTCAGACCCAGTGTTTATTATTCTGTCAGACAGCATTCAGTAAATGGATTAAAAGCCATCAAAGTTTCTTCCAAAGATGTTTCAATTTATAGTTCCTTTGATTTCCCTGAATCAGGTTCTGGAGCAGCATCCTGATGGGAGGTGGAAAGGCTGTATCCATGACAACAGAACTGGCAATGACAGAGTGGGCTATTTCCCATCATCTATTGCGGAGGTGATTAACAAGAGATCAGGTAAAACACGGATACGCCTCTTCATCTTTGTGATAGGGAGCATGATTAAATGTGTTTCAAGCTGCCAGACTAATATGTATCAAGTCTTTTTCTCCAGTCAATTGTTTTTAATACTACTTTCTACTGTACCCCCTGTTCAGGACTGAGGGGTCCTGGTTCATATTTATACCTGTATTAATTATTTAGTCACATCCAAAGTGAAGAATTCAGCAATCATAACACCTCCAGATGTACAAGCTAGTAGCTATTACTTATATAAAAGAGAAAATAATTTCTCTTACAAATTTTAAATTTATATTTCTTATTATTTTAAACCACCATTTTAAAATACCTGCAGGATTAACCAATTCCTTTAAAAACATTGATAAATTCACAGTGGGTTCATAAAATAGATTTACGATACAGCTTGACAAATGGCACGATCTGTTGAAAATTGAGCAAATATTATTTGCCTGATCTTAAACATCAATTCAAGGCTGAACTTTTCACATTCTGTGATTGAGGTGGGAGTGGCTGAGTGCATTGCGATTGAGATCAGAGTATCTGTGCAAATAGTGACTGAGTTGGGACTACTTGTATAAATGCAATGATTGAGGCTGGAGTGTCAGAGGCAAACTAAGAGGGTTTGTATTAAACATCAGGAGTGGGAAAGTGCCTCTGGAATGGAGACTGATGATTTCTACCCATCCATCATCCTCCACCCCCGCCCCATATCATTGTCCCCATTTCTTGCTGAAGGTGGCTTTGCTCCTGAATAAAACTGAACAATTAATGTGCAGGCAGGGTCTAATGCTAACAAATCAAACTGACACTCATGCTTTTCTGAACAGATTGAGTGTTTGGAATTGATAAGTGTGGTGGGTGAAAACTGGTGCACCTGCCATGGACAAAGTAACAGCACAATCAAGAGGCTCATGCCCCATTATCAGAGTTCCCTCATCCCATTTCACAAACATATAGAATCATAGGATTTTACAGTACAGAAAGAGGCCATTCAAACTAACAACAACCCGGCCAATCCCCCTTTCCAGTCCTATCTCCATAGCCTGCTAACTTCATCATTTCCAAATCTATATCCAACTCTTTTGAAATCTCATATGGAAACCACCTCCATCACTCTCCCAGGCAGTGCATTCCAAATGCTAACAACTGTCTGAGTAAAGACATTTCTCTTCATCTCACTCCTAGCTCTCTTCCTGACAGTTTTGAAATTGTGACTCCTGGTTACTGACATACCAACTAGTGGAAACAGAATATCCTTCTTTAGCCTGTCAAAATTGTTCATAATTTTGAACACCCCCATCAGGTCACCCCTTAATCCTCTCTGCTCCAAAGATGATAAGCCCAATTTCTCAAATCTTTCCTTGTATCTAAAGTCCCTCAATCCTGCTATCATTCTACTAAATCTCCTTTGCACTGTCTCCAGGGCTTTAACACTTTAAATAAGGGGCACAGAACTGAAGACTTAAGCGGGCAAACACAGCAGAAATTGTGGACATCTCACAAGCTGGAGATCAAACCCAACTTTCCCTTGAATGGATTTCCAGTTATTTGTCATTGTAAACATGTTTCAATTTCATTAAATATCATTCTACCTATTAGAGCATAGCAGCAGTGATGGAGCCGCACTCACAATACCATGATAAAGGAGATGCCCCTGACAGATTCTCAATCTATCTGGATAGGAGGGCCCTGAGATATTTGTGCATTCACATCATATTTTTCTTCTTCTATTCAGTTGATTGGTCTGAAGAGGTATCAATGTCTAAAATCAAAAATGATTTCAGATTATTTTGTAGTTCATCTCTCATCACTAAAACGGGCAATCATTTCAGCACTGTTCTTATCTGAGCTCTGACCTTTTATGGATAGTTTAATGGGCTCTTAGCCAGGGTTTGATCTTTAGACTTAATCCAATTGAGTCAAAGAGTGCAACCGGCCCTATGAAGGCTGTGAAGTTCAATTAAACAATGAGCCTTTCAGTAAGCTCCACATCTCTACTGCCTTAGACTACTCAGCTTTATTGATGTTCTGAACTGACTTGGCACTATATCGATGCTATTCCTAGTTTCATTAGTTTTGCTCGTTTGTTGGCATGTAGATGTCACTAATTGGGCCAGCGTTTATTGCTTCCCCCTCATTGCCCTCAAAAAGCTGGTGGTGAGGTGCCTTCTGGAGTATGTCTGAGTGATATGCTGGGCTGTTTCAGAGGGCTCTGAAAAGGACAACAGGTTCCTTTTCCAAAGTGCTATTGGTAAGCCTGCTGGGCTTTTCAAACAATCTGGTAGGTTCATGACCATTTTTACTGATGCCAGTTTCTTTTAAAAAAAAGAAATTCCAAATCATTTATTTAAACAGGTTTGAATGTTCCCACTGGAATTTGAACTCAGGACCAGATTTTAGCTACCAAAGTAGGGAAATTTTGGGGCTTGATATGAGGGACCGCATTTTTGTTTGGGGTAGAGGGAGCATGATAAAATTAGGCCTATTGACCGTAGAGGTGGATCAGAGGGAATGATGGGAGCAGATGTGCACCCAGTTGGGGTACTTAGAATGGCTGACTCAGTCTCCTGGGACTTAGTTGTAATTATTTTAGATGCTGCTCAGCCCTCGGGCTATCATCCATCACACAGCTTCTCCTAGCACCCAATTCTCACAACTCTTCTTAACCTCCGTTCCCCCTCTATAGCCATTGTACCAGAAAACATTATGGGCAGACCTCAGGATCTGAATCCAGAAGATGGAATAAAAAGCTTCTATCAATATACTAGGGCTTGATGAGCGAAAAAATATCCTCATTCATGAAACCCACGTGAAAATTTTAAATCTCTTCAAGCATTCAAATCCAGACAAACTCTTACCCACTTATAACATCAGACATCTATGGTTTAATGACCTCTTTAAATTGTCAATCAAAATGTGAACTCAGAACTCCCTGTTCAGGTAAGTACTTTTGGAGATTTTGAAACATGCACCAAGCACTTTTAAATACTTCAGACACAATAGCAGCCCTTGAGAAGTGTCAACAAATGAAGCTGTAGTAACACATAGAATATTTTTTCTATCCTACACCAGACGGCCTGTCAAACTAAGCAGTCCGGGTGTATTTTTAATTCTAATTGATAGTCTCAACCCATATTTCTTGATTTTTAAAGGACTGGAAGGCTGGGAGGGAAGATCAGTTAAACTTTCAAAACCTGAAATTGACTTTGTTTTCGTTTAGTGAAAGAAATGAAGAGTTATGGAATCAATGAAGCCAAGATACAAATCAATCATTATTTTATTGCATGGTGGGAGGTATGCTAAATGATCTCCCCCTGTTCTTATTTCCCATTTAAGTGAAAAAGCCATGAATGGCACAGTGACTTCTATAGTAATTAGCCATTGTGGCACTAAATAGGTGGAAGGTTGAATATTGTTTTGGGATATGTATAGTAACCTATTGCTTACCAATGCATGGTTAAAAGAATAAGATGGGAATGTACAAATGATGCAGCATTTGAAACCATCATCAGTACTTCTGCTGTACTAACACATGTTGATAATCTAGGACGTGGTAACAGTTAAAAGGCATTGCTATTGTTTGCTTACAACATTTTACGTTTGAGATTTTTTTCATTGTTGCTTTCTACATTTTGCTTTTATTTTTACTTTTTCTTTGTTTCAACATTTTAGGTTCTTGGGACGCAGTTATTTATGCCCACAGTTGTCAGCAATATCACAAGATACAGCTCACGGCCTATGGCACAGCAATAGTCAATGGTGACTCCTCTCATCACTTTAATTCCCTGCCACCACCCCCTCCACCTCCACCTTTCAATCATCAGCCACTTTTCAGTTCCTTTGGTTATCACAGAGCCAATAGCAGTATAGAAGAATTACCCCATGGACAAGGTAGTTTATTAAATGCTTACTTCTTTTTGTTTTGTTACCAGAGTTTCCCAAAAGGTCATCTCAATAACGTGTCCCCCAATTGTTTTTGAGAACCAACAAATCTCAGATCTGCTAAATTCTAAAACCAGCTACGTATAGCCTTTCCCTCCTTAACTTTATTGGCTCCTTCTGGGAAACCCTGGATCATTTGTGTGAGAAGCTGATGTGCCTTAATTTTCATGTATTTAATTTTCAAGTTTCTTTGTCTTCTTAAAGGTTGGCTCGTGTGGAAAAGAACTGACAGGGTCACATACTAAACTAACGATAACTTTATTTAGGTAGCATTGCTGCATCAACAGGCTGAAGAGCCTGTGGTTAAATGAGAAAACCTTTTACCAATGTATGAAGTTGCTATGATTTGGAATGCTCCGCTTGAAAGGCTGTTATAAGCAAACAGTAAGGGACCCTCTTGTGGTGCAGTGATAGCATCCCTATCCCTGGATTGGGAGGCCTAGGTTCAAATCCCACCTTCACCAGAGGTGTGTAATAACATCTCTGAACAGGTTGATTACAGGGGAAAAACAATAGAAGCAGGTAGTAACTTCAAAAAAAGAATTAGATAAACACTTAAGAAGAAAATGAAGTTGAAAGACTGTGGAGGAAAAGCAGGAGAACAAAAGCAATGGGACTGTCTTTTTCTAAGCATCAAGATGGGCCAAATGGTCTCCTTCTGTGCTAATATGATTCTATGAAAATGTACAAAAGTGAGTTGTACAGTAGGAATGATTTTCACTTTGTGCAACAGTGTACAATGGGTGATAGTGAGTGCTTCTGCTTGATGTTCAGTCTCGCAAGCTCTGATCTCTATTCAAGTCAACAGGAATCAAGCTCAGGAAAGATGTAGGCCAGGCTGCCAATTTGCATCATCCATTTTACGCAACTGAAGACTGGAAGTCAAATTTGCAATGCGTTACTTCGGAAATAAAAGTGTACTGTTGCATCAGGATCAGGCCTGGTTGCTGGGAATTTGCAAGTGCTCGCAAAAACGTTTATCAGCACTTGATAACAGTTTTCTTTTGTCTGAAACAGTCACAGTCCCTTTGGACAACATCTTCTGACTATGACAAAAAAAAACTTGAGCATGAAGTTCACAAATATAATATTCAAAAGAACAGCATCACATTTCTAAAGCTTAAAATGTTCAGCATGGTGGCTCAGTGGTTAACACTACTGCCTTACAGTGCCAGGGACTCAGGTTCAATTCCACCCTTGGGCGACTGTCTGTGTGGAATTTGCACATTCTCCCTGTGCCTGTGTGGGTTTCCTCCCACAGTCCAAAGATGAGCAAGTTAGGTGGATTGGCCATGCTAAATTACCCACAGTGTTCAGGGATGTGCAGGCTAGGTGCTTTAGCCATGGGAATTACAGGGATAGGCTAGTGTGATGGGTCTGGGTGGGATGCTCTTTGGAGGGTCAGTGCAGACTTGTTGGACCAAATGGCCTGTTTCCACACTGTAGGGACTCTCAGGTTTGAATGAAAGGGGTTAAGGCAAGTAATTACGAAGAAATTCTTTCCACAGAAATGTCAGGAATAAATTATGGGATGTGTATGGAAGCTAATGACACCTAATAAGAGCCAATTGCAACTAAATCATTAACTATCGGATAGATTTTCTTAAAAGTGAATGTGGCCTCTCTACAAATATATTTTACGGAAACAAATTTATTCAACAACAAGCACAAAGGAGGAATGGACACCTGCTGGATTGGCAGTGGGCAGTGTTTGATCTATATCTCTCCAAGCAACAGAATAAATACCCAATCTGATTGCACACATTCTCCTGCCAAGTGAAGTGAGGATGCTGCCTCACTCTGTAGGAGATCTGGAATAGTGGATGTGGAGTCTTGCTATGATCTCCAACAGATTGACTTCCCTTTGTAAATACGATGTGGATTTAACAAAAGGGAGAAGATTATGGGAGTTTCAGGACCACAGTTACTTAATACAGGTATAGGCAGTTGCCCATTTGTAACAGGAGTTAAATGAAATTTCATACCACATAGTGAATACTGGGAAAATTCAGTTTTCAAGGGACCCCAATCTCCAACTGTTGATTGCCGGCTTGCCTTGGAATAGCACATATAATAAGTGAATGCATCAGTAGAATGGGTGGCATGGTGGTTCAGTGGTTAGCACTGCTGCCTCACTGTGCCAGGGACCCAGGTTTGATTCTAGCCTCGGGTGACTGTCTGTGTGGAGTTTGCATATTTTCCCCGTGCCCTTTTGGGTTTCCTCTGGGTTTTCTGGTTTTCTCTCTCTATCCAAAGATGTGCAGGCTAGGTGGATTGGCCACAGTAAATTGCCCCATAATTTCTAGGGATGTGCAGTTTAGTTGGATTAGCCGTGGGAAATGCAGGGTTATTGGGGATAGGCTGGGATGCTCTTTGGAGGGCAGGTGCAGATTTGTTGGGCTGAATGGCCTGTTTCTGCACTGTAGGGATTCTAAGAATGTCCTTCCCTTGATGACCCACTGAGTAGCTGAATTTGGTTTTACTCATTCATGACATTTGATCATTGGTGACATGGCCATTTATTACTCATCCCTAATTGCTCCCAAGAAGTTAATGGTGTGCTGCCTTCTTAAACTGCTGTGATCCGTGTGTAGTAGGAACACCCACAGTCTTCTTAGGAAGGGACTTCATGGATTTTTACATGGCAACAGTGAAGGAGTGGTGATGTATTTCCAACTCAGGATGGGTTGGAGGGGAATCTGGAGGTGCTGATAGTCTAATGCACATGTTTCCCTTATCAAAGAGCCATAGAGATCTACAGCACAGAAAGAACAAGTCAAAAACAAGCACCTACCTATTTTAATCCCATTTTCCTACACTTGACCTTGTCTGCCTTGGCATTGCAAGTGTACATCTAAATACTTCTTAAATGATATGAGGATTTCTGTCTCTACCACCCTTACAGTGAGTTCCAGATGCCAAATGCTCTCTGGGTGAAAAAGCTTTTCTTCACATCATCTCTAAACCTCTAACCCTTACCATAAATCTATCCCCATGATCATCTATCCCTCAATCCAGGGGAGAGTTTCTTCCTGTCAGCCCTATCTATGACCCTGTTAGTTTCATACATCGCAGTCATGTCTGCTCTCAATCTCCTGTGCTCTAAGGAAAACATTCCATCTGTCCAATCTCTCTTCAGCAATGCCCTTTTAGGCAATAACATTTTGGAAGTTAGGGAGGTGTTGACGAAGTCTTGGCAAGTTGCATCTTTCAGGTAGTCAGGTAGTTTATGGGGAGGCGATGGCCTAGTGGTATTATCGCTGGACTGTTAATCCGGAGACCCAGATAACGTCCTGGGGACCTGGGTTTGAATCCCGCCACAGCAGATGGTGGAATTTGAATTCAATAAATATCTGGAATTAAGACTCTAAGAATGACCATGAATCCATTGTTGATTATGGGGGGAAAAACCCATCTGGTTCACTAATATCCTTTAGGGAGGGAAACTGCCATCCTTATCTGGTCTGGCCTACATGTGACTCCAGACCCACAACAATGTGATTGACTCTGAACTGCCCTCTGGGCAATTAGGAATGGGCGATAAATGCTGCCTAGCCAGCAATGCCTTCATCCCATTAATGAATAAAAAAAGGAGATAACTCATCTCATTTGGTCATCAGTAGGTGAAGAGGTTGCTGTTTTCCTCAGTACCATTTGGAAGTAGAAGTGAAATCAGCCATGATTCTTGCTGTTGATCATTACTCAGTGATCCCTGTTCATTTGTGGAATCCAGGTGAGGGCAGATATAGGCTTCTTATGTGGTATCCAGCTGCAATTTTATACTATCTTATATCATATGTAGAGAATGGCCTTTTAAACATGGCATTAGATGTAACCACAAGGCATGGAAATACAGCAAGTCTCAATATCTTCAGGAGAGGTGGGAGAAGACAAAATTGACAGGAAGAGAAAGAGGAATGTAATGTTAAAAGAGAAATATATGTATAAATAGACTTTGTTCATTTATTTGTTATATTTAACCACCATAGAAAGCATCCTTGCAATCTGCTGGGGTGGCACAGTGGCTCAGTGATTAGCATGGCTGCCTCACGGCACCAGAGAACTGGGTTCAATTCCATATTCAGGCAACTGTCTGTGTAGAGTTTGCACATTGTCCTAATGTCTGTGTGGGTTTGCTCTGGTTTCCTCCCACAGTGCAGAGATGTGTAGGCTATGTGGATTGGCCATGCTAAATTGTCTATAGGGCCCAGGGACGTGCAGGCTAAGTGGATTAGCCATGGGAAATGCAGGGTGACAGGGATGGGATTGGGTGGGATGCTCTTTGGAGGGTTGGTGTGGACTTGATGGGCCAAATGGCCTGCTTCCACACTGTCGGAATTCTATGATTTCATTTAACGGCTTTTGAGTTGTTGTAACATGACAACAAGAGCAAGATTGGAATAGTTAGGTGTGTTGATTTAGATCTTCTCAACTTAGCTAGAAGCTAGGCCTGTTAGATACGATAGCACTTTCTCACTTAAAGGCTATTGGATATCTCAAACTCTTGCCTCCCCAAAACCCTATGAATGTCATTGAAATTTTCAAGACTGTTTTGTTGAGGACATCAAGCAATATGGAACACTGGGGAGTGGATGGAGTAGAGATACAGAACAGCCATGTTCTGATTGAACAGAACGCTACCTGTTCTTAAAGTAATGGGCACTATTATCTTCAAGACCTTGAGAAATTAGTCAATCACCGTCTCCAACTAAAGGAAGGTTAGAGCTGGCCAGCCGCACAATTTCTGTTTTTTAAATCAATAGTTCCATGCAATCGTTTTGTAATAAAATCTCGTTTGCCACAATAGAATTTCACTGTCGAGGGATGTATTGATGTATGAGACAGATGGTAATTTAGCAGGAGACAGACAAAACAGAGTTAAATCAATATTTCCAGAGCAGGGAAGCCTGTTACTGAGATGGAAAAGAATAGGGAGCTAAAGGGCGAGG